AGCCACTGTGTCAAATGTCCTTCTTGGGTTGCCGTCCGGAGTTCTCCAATATGGCGGACCACCTCGCACATGCGCACTGCAGATCGGGCAGAGCTGCAGATCGGGTAGTGACAGAGGGCACGAGATAAGTTTGTGCACAGATGGAAGGCTGACAGGCAGGTAGGCCATCCAGTTATTTTAGCCGGGCCGGCTCAGATGATTGGTCGTGCTTTTTACAGTAGCTACGGCTTCCACAGATGACATTTTTTTATGGATTTTGTGTCAAAGCACTTCAGATATTCATTGCTATCGGGATGTTAAGAGCATTCCATGGAATATAACAAAAAGTGTATCTCGAGCTGGTGGGTTTAAGGCATAGGCGTGTTTCTTTGTTTTTTTGTATTCATACCGTATATAAAAACATGACTTTGTATTATGAAAAAATATTTGTAAGGTAAAACTAAGTCAATAAATAAAAAGTAAACTTAATAAAATACCGGGTGCTGCAGTCTCGACCTATAAACAATATTCTTCGTCTTCAGACTTATAAAAAGGTCTGTAGCGTTAAAGATAATCTACACTTTGATATATGCTTCAATGATAATGTGACTAATGTTACATTGCCTCTAACATTGTGAATCGGGGAAGTTCCAATATCGGTCAATATAACCAAAATGTTTTCCAAAATCCTGCAGCCCTGATACAAATTAGATTTGTTCAGATCAAGTGACTTCACTTCTTCAGATAACTTGCAGCAGTGAGCTAGCTCGTCATAATTGGCCCCTCATTCACAAATCAACGTTGTGCTATTATATGTTTTTCTCCAGGTACACTGTTCTCNCTGTCTCTCATAGTTGAGGTATACCTAGGATGAAAATTACAGACCGCTCTCATCTTTTTAAGTGGGAGAACTTGCACAATTGGTGGCTGACTAAATACTTTTTTGCCCCACTGTATATGTTTTTCTCCAGGTACACTGTTCTCTGACACATCATTTCCACAGAAAGTAGATTCCTGTAACACCTGATTTGCATCTTTGAGGTTTCCGTATGTACACAAGTCTCAGCTTGTTACTAAAACTCTCTGACAAACACAACAAAACATCCACATTCTTGTCAATACAGGTCAACAAGTGTCTTGGACGTCAATGGAGCTTAATCCAAGTCATAAATGAGTTAATGTTCCTTTCACTGGCGATAAAAATGGAGAAGCAAAAAGGAGACAGACAGAGGAACCAGACAAAATGTTTGAAACTGTCTCCTCTCTGCCAGTTCAATTGTTCCCCTCGGAAACAAATAACACACTTCATCACCCGAGAATAAATTAGGAGGCTGATTAAAAACATCCCCAGCTGTCACCTGCAGGCCCTCGTCTATGAGTCATCACTGCGGGCCCTGAGATAATAAAAAACGGCTCCAATAAAAGGTTTTTAACCTTTGAGACTGAAGGCAGTGACGTGTTTATGACCGGTGATGGAGGACGTGGTCATTAGCTGCAACTCACTCTCATTCCTCTGATAGGAGGGCACATGAGAAACATCAGGAAGAAACGCAAATGGAAACTGTTAGCCTGTCAATTATGGACTCACATATTGTTGATTGATCGAATGAATGTAGGCCATTTCTCGGAAAAGATAATGACATTTGACTTGTTTGTGATTGGGACCTTTTTTGTGAAAGGTTAATAAGCATTTAGCCAAGCCCAGAACCTCTGCTTTTTTATCAGGACAATGCAGAACAAGTATTAGTTATCTGAAGAGAGTTCAAGACGCAATCATTAACAAAGCTAAATCATTATTTGTAAAAACGTGCTGCTTGAGTGCACAAAGCTTTAAAAGTTGTTCAACCAAACCTCCAGCCCCAGGGGTCAGAAACTTGATGTTATCAGGATACAATTACCGGAGGAACAGCAGTTACAGAAACTTGTAAACTCATTATGCAGCGCACTGGAGAAATTATCTTTGTTTGCAAATATAAAGTGCACTTATTACTGAAAACAGAGGAAGAACAAGCGGGCCGTGCAAAACAGACCCATTATTATTTCCAACTCATGAATGCTAACATTTCTACCTAAAGCATGAGACCTGTGTAGAGGCAACGAGATGATTTGTTATTTACTTATATGATTTATGGATCGGGGAAATATATGACTTTATTCGCCTGCTTTTGAGCTACTGATTAATTACTTTAGCCATACATACAGCTTATAATACAATTAAACTGTAATAGGTTGCTTTGGAGAATACTGGCTGATTCAGCAGATAAAACCAATATGCAACAGCAACAAACACAGAGGATGGATTGGATTGTAAAAAGATACCGCTGAGTTCAGAAGAAAAGTAGAGATTGTGGCATAACAGAAGGACCGACATAGTTTACAGATACTATTTTACAAGTGACTTACAGTAAGGGCCTATGCTTCAACATGAGCAGAAAACATTCTCATTATTAGTTTCTTTGCTTGTTGATTAAGGGAATCAGACATGGGTAAGTTATCTGCAGCATGTGATGTCTGACTGAAGTCTGAACATACATTATCCAAGTTGTTCTTGTTTCTTGATTTGGACGTATAATCAATTCAAACAGTGAAAATGCTACGAGTATAATGTCCAGTATTTCTCCTTTAGTCCAAGAGTGCACGCTTAATAGTGTTCATGCATTATGTGGTTTTGTTCTATTAAAAAAGTAAACGTTTTAACACGGTGTGATGCCCCTGTGGGTTCATCTAGAGAGAGGGTGTGGCTGTGCTGTCTTGATTGCAGTAACTCAGGGCACCTGGATCTGGCGCCCTGCAGCTATTTAAAGCCTCTGTCTGCCCTCTCCTACAGGCACCTGGTTTTCTGTTGAGTATGCTATGAGTTTCTTCACTTTGTGCACTTCAACACTCTCACTCTCACACATGTCCATGCAATCCTCACCCTGCATTTACACTACTGATACCACTGACATCCACACCTCATGCTTTACTTGTTTTGCACTTAATTAATTTGGCTAATTTGAACCACTTGCTTTAATAAACATCTTTTGTTAAACCGTTGATATGGTGCGTCTCCTCTTTGTTGTGGCCTTTTGAGCCAGGTCATAACACACGGTGTCGATCTCTATCTAATCAAATCTAATATTATGGAAACCTAGCTAGTAGGAGCTATGCCTATCATTCCTGGTCAGGTTAAAAGAGAATAATGTACACTAGAATCAACAAAAGGCTTACTATTTATCTATTGAAAGGTTGTTTTTTTAAAACGCATGTATGTATGGTTTCTCACATTTCTGCTTCTGTTAGTCAGATATATTAATATATAGAGAGTCAGCTGTGTAAAGCATCCTCGTGAGGGAACATTTCTGCACTTCCTGTGGTCACGGGGCTCTGACAAGTTTACTTTTAAGACTTTGGAGGCGGGGAATGAATAGAGACATGTCTGCCTTTATTTCAATATCCATGCATGTTTGTTGCCCCTAAAGTAAAGATGCGTATGTCCATAAAAAGGTGCAAAGGTACTGCTGGGTAGTTTAACCTATGATAATACATCATGTTATCTTAGGTGACTTGGTTTTAATAAACTGAATCTGCAGTTTAACTAATGTTGTGAAATATAATGGCGTAAAAGTTTTAATATAAGCCCCTAACATGTAATTAAATATAACGTATAGGTAGTAGAACATGTTAATTATCAGATAAAATACCTCAATAATGTACTTAAAGTGGAGTAACATTACTTAATGTAGTAACTTGTTACTATTGCTCACAATATGTCAACACTCCCAGTCACAATCCCTACATAGACATCCAGATAGTTTAATAAAGTGGTTAATACACTATATCAGTGCATTGCAGGTGTCCAGCAGCCTGTTAAAAGCCACGACATGCGTCTCAAATATCTATAACACACAATGAATGAGTCAGATGGGTGTTTTGTAGTAAAACAAGCCTTATGTGGGATAAATAAACCTCAAAAACCAACATAAATACATCCAAGTATCGCCTGTTCACAACACAGTACTCCTGTTACAGAGTTGCGCAAATCCTTGAAAGCTTGCCTCATTCAGTCCACTTTCAGCGACACAGCAGCAGCGACATCACAGGGAAGCCACGCCGAATATAGAGCACAAAGTGTGGGAACAACAGCGGGACTTACCGGCGGAAAACCACTGGAGGTCCGTCAGCAGCTCACTTCCTTATTTCCTCCGACTGAAGGGAAGCTGCAGCCGCCTGAGTTTGGCTTTTCTTTTTTTAACTCTCAGTGAAGTTGTGAGCTAACTGCATGCTAAAGTTCACGTCCGCTCATGTCTGTTGTTTAGCTGCTGCGGCTAGCTTCCTTCCTTTTTTGTATTTTCTTCACTTTTTTTGTTTTTTCTTTTACATAGTTGATTTTTTTTGTAAGACGCGCCATCACTGCCATCTATCGGTCAAAGTGGTGAACTGCACTCTTCGATTACTATAGAAAAAAATGATGCCTGATTCAAAACTGTGTATAAGGTTTATTTTATATAAGTATTGTTATAAGTACCAATATAGAAATCTACAATTGAATACTAATGTTTTTTTATTGAATACAATATTATATTATGTAGATAATGAGAGACATTGTTAGGCTGCATTATGGTTTGTGGAGTTGTATTTTTCTTTAGGGCTGTCAAGAACATTTAGCAAATTATGTTATAAATGTGTAAGTATTTATTATTATTATTATTATTATTATTATTATATTGATATTACCCCTTTTTTATTAATGATTACACTTCCAGAATAATAAAGGTGCATTAACTATCTTATTGTAATTGTTATGATTGTATATTATTTATTAGTTTTGACATTAAGTTTGCTTGTGTAT